GCTTAAACTGTGAATAAAGTTAACTTTATTTGGGGAAGAACAACTTTTTTTTTGCATTTGGCTAATTCAGACTGGCTGTTTTGTTCCACAGGTAACCCCTCTTGGGTCCTGGCTTTCCTTTCGGGCAGCTGCTTAGTTTTATCCCACTTGATTGCTCTCTTGGCCACGACACAACAGCTTCTTGGTCTCTCACTCTCTCTCTCTCTCTCTCACACACACACACACACACACACACAGGCTAGTCACACACACTCCAGAGAACTTCCACACTAAGGCCCCACCGCAAAGTTATTAATGAGCTGTTTAATTTTAATTAGATAGTAATTCATGTTAATGCCTGCTTAATGGAGCCAAATAATTCCCCTCGGTCACTCGGGGTCTTTATGCTTCGTTTACCAGCCCCTGCAGTTATTCTCTGGCTTTTGTTTTTATATTACATTTCCATTTTTTTTCCAAGCAGTGAGTGAATGATGAAACAGTAAAAAGAGGAAACATATGGGGTGAGTGAAGCGTACAAGTGTGTGTTTGTGTGTAATACAGTGTCTGTGTATCAGTGAGAGTGAAAGTTACTATCCATCAGTGCCTCTTCTATTTATATTTCATTTTTATTTAAATGCTTGTTTATTTAGCCATGTTTGCGTCCATGTCTGTCTTTATGTGTGAAAAGCTGAACTACTTGTCCATGCACAAACATAAACACACCTACTCTCTGCACAGGCCACTACAGTAAATGCCTTAAGTCAGAGCAAAGAAAAGGTCAAAGCCAGTACTGAACCATAAGCAGGGTTAAACCCTCAGGTTCAAGCGTATGTACAGTACCAAGACATTTGTAAGAGAGAGATCTGGACCTTTTTGTCCAGGCCAGGCCTCAAGGTAGATCTCATGTGCCTCTTGTCATGCATACATCCACTGTGCTGTTGCTCACCTAGGGGAAGCATTTGTTTGAAACACCCCCTTAAAGTTCAAACATCGATAGGACCCTGTAGGAGTGACTGTGCCAGCCAGACCCCTGTGTGTGTACTTGGGGAGGAGTGGAGGGGTCAACAACGTTGAGTCTGTCTCGATCCTGTCTAACAGAGCACTAAGCTGAGTGGCCGAATTGAGTTAGTCACTACAGACAGGCTTTTAATTGTTGACTGACCAGTCTGAGTGCTTCCTGGGCCGGGTCATTGTAGAGAGCAAGCAAGAAGGTCCCCAGGCCCCAGTGGCAATTTCAGCCACACACACTCCAGCACTGCTGAATGGTGGAAAGAAACGGGCGGGAGGCTGGTCGTCAAAAGGTACTTCGGACACAACAAGGGGATAGATAAGAGCTGAGAAACTTTAAAAAGTTAAAACATTTGTTGTGCTTTATTATTTTCCTTACATGAAGTTTGATGGCAGGATTTACAGAGGGCGTGCGATTAAAGCAAACAGAAACACATTTGGTGACAGTGTTACAGTGGCTGTGAGCAGAGCGAGCTTCGAGGTCCGTAGATTAGCAAATTCAATGTTTACTCCTCCACAAAATCTCTGCTCCTTCATCTGTTTGTCAATTACAAATTTACTTTGTACCATGCCTGTCTTTGCCCCTCCACTCCCTCTGTCTTTATCCTCTCTTCTCTCTCTCCCTTTCAGCCCCCTTCCCTCTAATTCTACACAGGGCGACAAAAGCCCATTCTGCTGTTTTAGCGGGTTAGAGCTTCTCCCCTCTTCTGCTCCTCTCCTCCTCCTCCTCAGCTCACAGCAGGTGCTGGTCCTCAGCTAACATTTGTTATCTCTAATCCTGCAGGTTCGGCACACAAAAAGAGCGTAGTAAACTCTCTCTCAGACCTAATCCCACTACTCCTTTTTTGATGGCGCTCCCCCTCGCCCTCCTCTCCTCTTTTCTCCCTTCACTATCTCTCTTTTAGGCTGCTGGGGGGACACTCCACTTCTGTGATTGCCACATAGCTTTTTATCACCATGGCCTTCAATTTGGGGGCAGCTGTTGGTGGTGGGGGTGTCCATTTTCCCCCTTGTTCTTTATAGCACTGATTCCAACTCTCTTTTTCCTCTCTGTCTCCCTCCGTCTCCCTTTTTGCCCCCTTCTCCCTCTCTCTCCGTATCATTTACAGTCATTTTCTGGCAATTAAAATGGAGCGCTGCTGCAGGATTTTTGCCTGCAGTGCAACACTACAGTGCTGATGAATAATTCTTCACCCTGCAAACTGAAAAGCTAGCCTTTCTTTAATGTCGGCCCTTTGTTGATTTACCATTAAAACTTACTGCACCGTGCTATGAGTGGAAGGCCCAGCTCTGCAGGAACTGGCAAAAAGCAAAAATGAGGATGAAGCAGATATGTGTAAAAATGCTTTTTCCAGCATTGGATGAGGAGGTCTCTGACTTACATATGTGAGTCATATTGTGTGTTAATGTTTCTGGTTTATGGTGAGTGTCTCTTATTTATGTCAACTGTCTTGTTCTTTATCACTTTGTTAATTTTTCTTCTCAGTTTTCATTATGGGACTGAGCTGCATTGTGCGAGCGATTAGACGGTCTTTCATCTTCTGTTTCTCTCTCATGCACATACTGACACAGACACATAAACTGTCATCTTCTCTATCACACACACAGCGAGCAGTGACAGATTTGTGAATGGACTGTGTGGGGTGCTCAGGCTGCAGAGACGGGGTGGTGATGGCAGTACATGTTAAATGGCGTGGCCAGCCTTCTATGCTATTTTCTCTTAGCAAATTCCTGGACCTGACTTTTCACTGCTTTAAGGATTTTACTTTAGTAAAGTAAATTTATTGTCCTGGTAAGGGAAAATAAAAGTTGTGACAGTAATAAATAAAAATGCAGTAAAATAGATTAAATACCAGGAAGCAATGCAGACAAGGTAAAGAAGACAGCAATCAATCATCACAAAAGTAAACTTGGTCTGACTATGCTGTAGAGTCAAATGTACAGTTTTTGTACCTGTTATAGTAATAATGTGGCCAGTTTCTTGCAAAACTCAAACTGGAGCACAAGCATCATTGGTTATTTGTTCAAATAACTTAAATAACCCAAGTTTACATTTTCACCTCACGCAGTTTTACAAATATTAAGTCTTGCTTGGAAAATGAGAACATTGGATTTTTAAAAACGGCTTAAAATAAAACAGTTTTTTATGACAAAGCATTTGGTTCTTAAGTTCCAACAAAAAGTAAAGAGGAAGTCAGTTTGCCATTTTGGATGAACATTGTGTCAAATCAGTATTAGTGTCTTTTTGGTACAGCTCTTATCTGTGCGTCAGTGCATTTTAGGTATTGATCCCCGTCCTAATTACTATGTACAACCTACAGGCTGCTGTTTCAGCAGGTGAGCTCTTCGCTCTACCCATAGCATCAGGTTAAATTCATTTTTCAAACGATAGCTGGTGGCAAGTTCAGCGACTTTAATAGCTATAATGAATGAGACCAGTTGTCCAAGAGAGAAACAGAAAGAAGTTTAAGGAGTTTAAACCCTGGCTTGAGGGGCTGATTTAGGGCTGAGAAAAAGTACGTTCCCACCATGTCATCTGGCTCAGGAGTTATCTCCCAGTGAGTTATATGGGCTTCAGCATATTGAACAGCAAATATGAACACACGCTCACTCGGATCCACTGACAGGCACACACATGAGCAAACAAACACTCTGACACACATCCGCAGACACACGCTCACACATGCACACAGTAAGTAAACAAACAGACACTATTTTTCACACTGTCACACTCACATGGACACAGTCACGCACTGAAGAGATAATGGTGGCCAGAGGCAATGTTAGTGCTCTCTCCCTCTCTCCCTCTCCTTCGCTCACTCTGAGGCAGAAAGCGTGCTCTAGTCCTCACTGTCTGTTAGACTTGATCACCATCACCCAGCTGCAACGGACAGTGCACAGCTCAGCTTAGCCTGACGGCTCATTGGTGCACACACTCATGCGCGGGCACACACGCAAACATGCACACACACAGCTAGCGTGCCAGATGATATTAGATGCAGTGTCTGACACCTCTAAATAAGTGTTTACTCTGAGTGTGTGTCGGAGTGTGTATATCTGTGCATGTACTTGCCTTTGCATCCTTTTTGTCTGTATGTCTTCCTCATCATCCATTACTGTGTGTGTGTGTGTGTGTTTGTGTGTGTCAGGCAACAAGGCCTGTGAAATGTATCCAAAATAATCATCACCCATTGCCTGCTTCCACAAGGCTGTCTCCGTCATTAACATAGGCAGCATGTAAATCCTTTAAGAACAACTGCTCATTTGAATTGACATCGTCCTCATCATATGTATAAACAAGTGACGTATAATTTTACTGTGCAATGATTAAGCAAAATCATCTAAATAAAAAATGTAAATGAATCTCTGTCTGATGTGATTTTTCCTGACTTCTAGCATTACAATTCTTGGTGTGACTGTAAAGGTTAAAGACATTAATTCATCATTCATCTGCATATTTTTTTGTTTGCTGCTCTCTTTTTCTTCTCACACATGCACATTAGCTCAGACATGGCCTTATAAAACGGTGACAGACAAAAGGCAGCAAACTGAGTGCACATGTGATGGTGTGTGCCTGCATGCTCACATGTGGATATATGTATCTCTGTCTGTCTGCAAAGAGGTTTTTGATAAGACAAAAAAGAGGGGGTACAGTAAATCCTAAATCAGGGCACATCCATCTCAGAGACCCGAGGGTGCCACACTATGACTGACAGGCCTCCTTTCACTAGCGCAGTCAGACGGGGGACGGATTAGGGCCGTCTTGCCCTAAAGGGCCATTGTGGTTCCACGTCTCCCAGCTGCTTCATCATGCACCCCTCTCCAAAACCAAGGAGGGGCCTTTGTGATGGAGTTTGTGCATCTGTGTATTAGCATGATATGGTGTGCATGGCATGGGTGTTTAAATTCTCGGATCTGTTAAAAAAATGGTCATTATTATGAAAACTTTAAGAAAATGTATTACACAACTTTAAAATTCCAAATGACTTTTCAGTTAACTTCACTGACCCATGTTGGTCCTCTTGCAAAGATCATAGCCTGCAGCTAGAGAGAAAAAGTCTGTCTAGATTTTAGATTTCCTGTAGAGCAGTGGCGAGCTGTTGGGGAAAAAAAAGCAAGACTTTCTCTTTAACAGACCGGGCCACATCATTAGTTAGAAAAAATCACCACTAAATATGCCGTCACATTTTGGAGTCAAATGAGTGGATGGTTACATTTGTCACCTCATTGCATTTATAATCCATTTGCACAGATTTGAAACATACTGTATATCTGGGCATCAAAGTGTTTGTGACTCATCTACTTTGCATCTCTTACAGCAATTAGTTCCCGTGCAGTGACATGAACCACTGAGGTAGTGTATGTGGGGGCCTATGTGACTATAATACCCAGGTGTTTTGCTGTAGATACTGCAGCTGTGCCTCCACCCTGGTGTAGACTGCAGGGCCCTTAGATTCATACTTGTAAATTACAGCCTTAAGTCTTCAGCTTTCAACGTCATCATCATTGTGATTTATGGCACCAGTTCAACTGATTTTGTTCCCTCTGTATAGTAAGTGTTTTTAATTGGTGTACTGACCCTGGTCATGTTTTAGAAGCTTACATCATCTTCCCTCTGAGTTCTTCTTTTTGAGTACCTAACCTATTTTATATTGGCATCATATTTTATTCAACCATTTTAGATAATAGTAGTGCTGAACATATAATACTGAAGAGTACTCTGTGTGTGTATGTGTGTATACGAGAGCAAGAGAGAAAACGAGCGTGCACTACATGCCAATAATTTGACCTTTCCAACCTTTCTGCTGCTTCCCCGGGGTTTCCCATCCGTTTCCAAAGAGGCCTTGTGGGGAGTGCCCATCAAGGGGGATCCTTCTAGGTTATGTCCCCTGGTGTGGATGCTGGGCAAGGTGGGATGGCACTGCAGCAGTAGTGGCACAGAGTCTTTGCCAGAAGAGGGAATGCCAGAGGCCTGCCACACTCCTGCTGAGAAGCTCCCAGGCAATTAGACTGCTGCAGTAGTGAGCTGCTGTCTGCAGAAGAAGAGTGAACAGGACCAGCGATTAGTAATATAGAACAGTGTATGTCGACACTGTGTTGACATTAATCAACTGAGCGTAAACAGACATGTTGGTTCAGGTTAAGTGAGCACCCTGTTATCAAGCACGCTCAGTTATACTTGTAAGCATTTTGTTCTTAAAGTGTGTGCAACACGAGAAGTCCTTGGAAGAGGAGCCTTGATTTAATATGTACAAAGGGAGAGAAAACTTGCCCTCCTTCCTTCCATGTCCCTGTCACCCCAGCGGAAAAAGGAGTGGATCTCTCTTACTCTCACTGTCTCTCTTCCTTTCTCTCTGCTCCATTTCTCTGTCTGATGAAAGAGGAGCTATGATCGCTTCGACAACAAAGGGCCCAGCCGCCTGTGTTTGGATGAGGCTTGCCTTTCTTCTCTCCTTCCTCCTCCTCCTCTATCTGTGTCTTCGAACCACCTCTGATCCCTTCCCCTCTCCCTCCCTTCCTGCTCTATCTCTCACTGCCTGTTGCCACTCACTGGCGCTACTCCTCCGTTCTTCGTTAGGGCCTCGGCGATACAATCAGTGGATGGAATTAAAAATCAGAAAGTGTCCTTGTCGAAGAGACACCCCGGATGGCGCACTTTGATGTCTCCTCAGAAATTTGAAATTCATATGTTGTCACACTTCATTTTATTCCCTCCCTCTCCCTCACTCTTTCTCCTTCTGCTTTCTCCTTTTATTCATCTGCCTCCTTCTCTTCTCCGTCAAGTGCCATCATGTACTATTCAGTTAGAGAGAAATGAGGGGAACGAAAGAACGAAAAATGCATTGTACAAGTGTTTCTGAACAACCTTTCTTGTCTTTTATTTTTCATGTTTTTACAATGTGAAGAAGGCGGAGGATATAATGAATCATTTAATTTTCTTTTGACTGTAGGTACTGGGGTGCGTGGGCTTAGAGGTACTGAGGATGATAGGGAGTATGGGGCCACAGGATGGGATGTGAGTGTGGCATTGAGCCACTTTGATGCCATTTCAGAATGAGGCACTAGTCAAAGCTATTTGACAGAGTGAGGAAAATGTAGCTGCCATGCACTCTGTAGTGCACACACACATCCAGACAGGCACATACATTCTCTGGCAGAAACCCTAGCCTTGTCCCCAGTGAAAACAAATAAATGCACATGCCGTATGAGTTTCTCTTGGCCCATGATTTCCTCAAACCTTCAAAATGAAAGACAGGAGTTTGAACATAATCCTGTTAGGATTTCAAAAGGAATGCAGCAAAACATGTTACTCTGAAAAGCCTGTGAGTCACTGTGTGAGTGTGTGTGAACATACTGTTGAGGTCTGAAGGAATTCCTCTTGTGAGGAGTGTCAAAGATTAATTAGTCCTGAATCCATGACATTAATACACAGTAACCATCCAAAAGAAATCTAAAGAGCAGGATTTGGGAATGTCACATTTTTGAACACATTTCTCATTCTTGTCTTCAAGGAAATAAGGGGGCACGTTCCTGGCCCCTCCCAAGACAGTTACAAATGTGCATGAAGGTGGGGTGGCGAGGGCTAGGGATTGGGTAGGGGTGCAGGGAAGGTGGATGAGCAGAATGAGCAGGATGGGGATAGAGATGAGGATGGAGATGGCAATGAGGAGTCCCACCGGTCCACTGTACCCCAGACTTATCATTAATCACTTCTCCTGAGCCAACCAGACCCTCCCACTCCTCCTTACCACCCTTGTCTTCCACCTCTAAGACCCTCCACCCAAGGTGATGGCAACCTGTCCCTCCTGCCTCCCTCCCAACACCACCCGCAACACCTGCTCCTCCTCAAAACAACAATTTCTGTTATCCAGGACCTCAGGAACGTCACCCGTCTTTGTCTCTACATCTCTTTCTCTCTGTTTACATCTTTCTTTCCCCCTTCCTCCTTCACTCTCTCTTTCTCCCCTTACTACTTTTTTCTCTCCTTCTCATTTTCTCCCTCTCTGTTTGTGACGAATGGGTTTTAATAAAAGCTGACAGAGCGATGAAATTAAAGGAGTGCATCCCATGGCCAGCTATAGCTCCAGCCTGAGCGTGGCACTGACATATTTAAAACAGGTCCTTAATTCAGTGGCCTGCCTGTGTCTTACATCACCAGGGCTCCTCAGTGTTATAGGAATCATTATTACTGCCTGACACTTCATTGTTGTTGTAAAAAAAAAAAATGTTACAATTGACACCAGAGGCACCTAGCAGCTCCTCCATCCTTGTGCCAACAGAGACCAAATATTAAACTGTTTATTCCACTGACCCTATTAACAGATATTAGGCCCCATCTCCTGTGTTGTCGCATTACAGCCCGGGATCATAAAGAAAGGGGGTTGGGATCAAAGTGGTCCGAGACAGAAAGTGAGTGTGCGTCTTTTCTGAGGGAACCCTTCCATAAGGAATAACTGACATGGAGGACTTACCCATGCCTTGGGAGCTCTCGCTCAACGCTAAAGCATTGTTTTGTCGGATTACAGGGTTAGGAGGGGAGCCTAATCCCCTAATTTTTAATCTCTCCTGATTCTAGAAGGATGCCTAAGAGGCTAGGGGGCTTCCCTGACACAGCTGGGTGGGTTACAAAAGGCGGAGGCTGGGTGGGGAGGGAGCTAAAAGAACAGGGCGGACTTCACAACAAAAGGCATATAATATTATTGATGGGGGCATGACTCTATTGCTTTGAAAAACGGTGAAGACAATCTAGAAATGTAGTAATAGAGGCCATTTTGCCAATGAAATGTCTAAAAATGCAGAAATCATTTGCAAGAGGGTAATAATTACTAGAGAAGTTCCCAAAGTCAAAATATCAAAAGTTAAATCAAGAGTAAAATCAAAGCAGCTTACTATCTAGTAACACAAGTAATTCCAGTCCTATCTGTATGCTGTGCACTGCACAACATTCAAAATATGTGACAGTGATAACACATGCTTTTCCAAAACATTTCTGCTTTGTCATTTCATGCCCTCACCGCCATGTGTCTGGGTGTGTGGATAATTTCTCAGACAGCTTACAGTGACAGGCTTTTGGGACGAAGGGTAAGTTGTCTGGGAGCTCATCTTTATAATCTGTGAAAGATATACAGGGTCTCCCCAGGTGAAATACAAGGACTGTTTACCTGCAGCATTAGTTAAATAAGATTAGGAACTGGACTGGGACCCAAACACTCACTGTGGGCAGAAATATATATGTGTATATAAAATCAAATAAGGGAAATTTATTTGAAATTTTTAAGATGAAAACATAGTTAACACCTTTTGCAATGAGAACTTCAAAGTCCAGTTGATGCACAAAACATATGAGGGAAAGATGGGACACCAAGCCGTCAACTGGGTTCAACTGAAGGCCTCTTTCAAATGTAAAGTTAGCTATGGAGCTGGAGGGAGACAGAACAGGAAGGATGGAAACAGGGATGGAGGAGGGAGGGTGGTCGCAGCAGACACAGGGAGTCAGAAATCATTGCGTCCATTGATGAAGTAACCTTGGGCGGCTTCCAGCATGACTGAGAGAGTGAGTGAGCGACGGGGTCTTGGAGCCAGGCCAAGCAGAGCCTTTTGTGCCAGCAGTCGCCACATTCCAGTCATCCACGGATATTTATACTCCAGGCCTAATTGAAAGGTTGGCTTGTGAACCATCTGCATGCACCCACACTCCAACTCCCCCTTCTATGCACACACACACACACACACCCACATACAGAGACAGACACACTCCTTAGTGCTTTACCACCACAGACACAGCCAGCTTTGACCCACAGAACATGCTGCATCTGTGATGGCTAACATCCCAGGAGGCCAAAAATGCAAAGAGAGACTTACAGCGCAACCTTTCCTGCCAAAGGGTAAATTCAGAGTTTGTTTCTGATTCTTGATATTTACGTCTCCTAATGAGATTTAAACAAAGAGATGCTGGCAGAGGAAGTTGGGCAATGCCTTGACCACTGGCCTCTATAATCATAATCATACCAAAGTTACAACCTATAAAATGCAACAAAGAAGTGTTTTAACCACTGAGTTATTAAAGAAAATCTGTCAAGAGGTTGTGATTATATCTCATTTATAACCATAACATTACATTTCAGACAGCCTATGTCCCCTTCAGTAGGATCACACCATTCATAATGACGACATACGGTAGGTAGACAGGCATGGGAACTTCAATTTTTATCTCAAGGTAATTTCTACAAAGTGAGCAAACAACCTGTAGTCAGTAATGCTACACAGCTAAGGGAGTCTGGCAGCTGATAAAAGGAACTCAACACTAGTGTGAGATAAATGACTTGGTGATTGATTACTGCCTAAAGCAGAAAAATGAGCAAAGCACAAAACCAGTCAGTAACGTTTGTGTAACGAACATTTTCTCACAGTAGCTTCTCTGCATCACACTGATAGTCAAGCAGAAGTTAAACCTCTCTTTCTGCCTGCTATATATAAATTACCCTTTCTCCTTTTGTCTCATTTGAATTTTTTTAAGGAATAATATCTGACTTTTGCTCTATTTAGGCTCCTTTTGTTGTGAAGCTGCTGATAAAATGTTAATGGTTTCTGTACTATGCCACTAAGTGTGAAATGGAGTAACAATTACAAAATACAAAGTAACATACCTGTAGTTGCTCACTACTGTGTGGTGAGGACCTAAGGCCCAAATCAAATCAACACACATGCCACATGCAAATTGATAATATCCAGATGAATACAGCAATTATCATCATGCTGATGATCATAAATAAAATATTTAGTTTTAAGACAGCAGTCACCTAACTCCAGATTGTAACTTTAAATCACATCATGAATATGCAAGTACAAGTGTAACTGACTGACATGGCAGACAGCAAGCCAAAATCAGGACTCCGGGGAGCCATGAAACAGTGAAACACAAATATCAGACTTCTGTTTCACAATCACTGAAATGCATTACGGGCTCAAGGGATCAAGTAACTAAACCCACTGATTAATGCACAATTAGTGCTGTGTTGTGTCAGTTAACAGG